CAGCGGGGCTCGGGAGAGGAATTTCCCCTGTTTCCAGCTTCTGCTTCCTTTCTCGGCCCCTCACCTTCACCGCCTGCTCGCCCGCCTGGAAAAAGCCGCCGCTGTAAAGGCTGCGTCCTCCTTGGGCCCTGGTGTGCAGCCAGGGCTCCCGAGAGCTCCGTGTCTTGGGAGGCCGCATGGGCTTCAGCATCACGCACTTGCTGCATGGCTTGGTTTTTAAAATGGGAAGTATTAAAGCAGCTGGTTGTGTTTGAAGGTTTATTGCTGCTGATAACCATGGAGATTTTCTATCCCTCTGTGTGTCTGTCAGTTTCTTCCTGAACGCTTGCATGGCTGATTTGATTTTTTTTAGTAATTTATTGTGTTTGTTGTGCATTACAGAAGAGCTGTACGTTTCTGAGCGAGAGGGCAATGATTCCACTGGTGATGGGACCCAAAAGAAACCGTTCAAGACTGTTCTAAAGGTAGTTGTGGGAAACACCTGCTGTTTGTTTTGACAGCATCAGCTGCGCTTTAGGCCCAGTGATCGCCCTGGTATTTCTAGATGTAGACGTATACGTGTGTTTACGGCTGACCAGAAGCAGGGTGTCTGCTCGGTCTCTTTGAGGATGGTTTAGTTCGCTTGCAGTGCCATTGATTCTGTGGTTTTCTCCCCATTTTTAGGCTTTAATGACAGCAGGAAAGGAACCGTTTCCTACTATTTATGTGGATTCGCAAAAAGAAAATGAGGTGCTGTAGCACTAGATCTTCCTAACAAATTATTTTAATGCTCCGTTGTGTGAAGGGGCACAAGTGTAATCGTTCATCTTCTGCTCTCTCTTTGGACTGATTTAGAGGTGGGCCCTCATTTCAAAGTCACAGATGAAGAATGTCAAAAAACTGTGGCACAGGGAACAAATGAAGAACGAAGCTAAGGAGAAGAAGGAGGTAGGTTGCGGATGATGCCAGGCTGGAGGAAGCACACCACTTCTCTTCCAAAAACACTGGAAGTTTGTCATTCTCACGCCTCCGAGAAGGTTGCAGTTTGTTCTTCAACCATGCCATTGTTTCACACAAGTTACTTGCAACTTGCCTTCCTTTAGATCAGGACAAGCAAATGGCTGAAACCGGGTGTGGTTTGAATAACTGCAGTCCATTGCCTTTAGATTTCTGGAAAACATGAGAAATGCGTCTGTGCATCGTTTCTCATCCTGCTCTTGAGTTAGGGCAGGCTTAGGCCCCAGCAGGGCAGCACCAAGGCTTTTTATGACATTGCTGCCTGTCGGTGTGCGTTGTGGTCTCCAGTAATTGTGAAGAGTGGGGATTGTGTTACGCCTGTTCTGCCTCTTTAATACTTTTTTTCCTTTACACCAGGCAGAAGATCTCTTGAGAAGAGAGAAGAACCTGGAGGAAGCTAAGAAAGTGGTGATCAAGAACGATCCTAGCCTTCCAGAGCCAAAATGCGTGAGTAAGATACAGTGCATTTCATCCATGGCCTGCGTTACAGCGTCCTGGCTGCACAGAGGTTGAGTCTCTCTGCGCTGGCAGCTGCTCTCCATAAATGTCACTTTGTTTTCTGGGTATGTGTCCCCTCTAGTGTATAGACTTTGTTCTTTCTCATGCACTTGACTGCTCTCTGAACCTTCTTAATTCATTCAGCAGACTTCTCTGTGTCTTTGTTTGACCATATTTCTCTTGGGAAAAGGTTCTTTGAAATGCTGTCCCAGTGCACTGCTGTGATAGAGCTTGCTGATGCACTCCTTCCTTCCTCACCAGCTGTTCAGCATCCACAGCTGTGCTGTGCCCTGGACAGAATTTCACTTCAGGTGCTGCTGGGAGCAGCTGTTTTGGGGAGGGAGAGCTCATAAATTCTTGTGTTCCAAGCAAATATGAAAGGCACCATCTAAGTGATGAATCATTTCTCTATGTGATTGCTGTTATTCCCTGCTTTACAGGTAAAGATTGATGCTCTGGAGGCTTACAGGGGCCAGAGGGTGAAGATTTTTGGCTGGATTCACAGATTACGGAGGCAAGGTAAACCCCAAGCGTTTAGAAGTTACTGAACCTGTGCAAAGTCATGGAACAAATACCGTAGCCTTCAAAATCTCGGCACTTACAATGAATCAGATGGCACTTACTTAATTCAGTAAAGTAAGCTTACTTTAACTTGCTGTACAAAATACAGCTCTGTGAAAGGCTTCTGTAGCTGTACTGATGCTTCAGTGCTCACCTGGAGCACCTCTGGTTTTTAAAATGGAAGAGTGCAATCACAGCCCTGTAATAATTGCGCGGCAGTGGTTAGTGTGTGCTGGGAGTGGGTCTGTTCAAGTGGACTGGTGAATAAAGCTGTGGCTCTCTGGGTTTTTTCTCTTTTTAACCAGGAAAAAACTTGATGTTCGTTGTTCTGAGAGATGGCACAGGTTTTCTTCAGTGTGTCCTTTCAGATGAACTGGTAAGTTGTGATGATTTAATTCTGTTCTGTTGTTAAATAAGTGAAATGTTCATACCTCATCCATTTTTCCTTTATATAGACAACTGGAAGGTCTCCTAAACCTACTGTTTAAGCTGTGTTATTGTTAAATTGTATCTCCTACCAGCAGAGTTTTTTTTCAATGTGAGAACTATTTGGAAGTGGTGATGGGTTCATCGTGTGTGTGACTCCCATTAGGTGGTGTAGGTAAATGAAAAATAAAAACCTTACCTTAACTACGCCCTTATCTCTTTCTCTCTGCAGTGTCAGTGTTACAACGGGCTGGTTCTCTCCACGGAGAGCAGTGTTGCAGTGTACGGTACGCTGAACCTTGTTCCTGAAGGCAAGCAGGTACGGGACTTGGGTTCTCCTCCTCTTTAACAGTTTGTCCTTTTTCTGATGGAAGAAGCAGGAGTGGAAATAATTATTAGATTATTTCAGTAGGTATTTGGTTTAGAGAAAACACCAAACCTCCCAAAGCTGCTGCTGTCACCCCCAGCTCTGTGTGTGGCAGATGAAGTCTGTGACTGTTCTGCTTTTGCCTGAAACACTTTCCACTGGTGTGTCCCGTAGATATTTCCTAGAATATAGCAGTGGAAAGTTACATTAAATAAACGGCATAGCTCTATTTTCTTAACAAGAGGTTTATTCAGGTTTTATTTTGTGAGGCTAAGAATTTGAGCTGCTTGAGATGGGTTTGCAGGCTCTTCAGTGTGTTGTGTTTGTCCTCTGGCACTTGGCAGGTTTATCAGCTGGGTGGTTCATGGTAAAAAGTTCATAATGGTGCTGTCAGGTTAAGGACTGGGCAGGTGTGACTGCAGGGCTCAAAATGTGCTGCTTGTGACTTTCTCATGCCAGTCCAGATCTATGAACTTCCCATTTGGAAAAGTGTTTGAATCTGGGGTTAGGGCTCAAGCAGCTGTGCGTGCAGGATGGCCCATGAAAACGGTTCAAACTGAAGGCAGGAGAGAAGCTTTTAGGAGCTGTTACTTCTGTCAGCAGCTCAATGCACTCATCAGGATGTGCAGGCATATATCAGGACAGTTATTGAACTGCTCATAAAATTTTGGACATTAGAAACATTTCATGTTTTCATGTCTCATCACAAGGATACAATGCTTTTACCGAACAAAACCACTGGATTTGTAAAACTCTGTTGATTAGACTGTGGAAATCTGCATTTACACCCTTAAAATACTGTGAATGCAAATAGAAACTGTTTCAGGAGAGAGAAGCCTACTGTGACCCACAGGAGGAAGCTGGTGAGCTCCATCCCAGCCTGAACTAGCGCACAGTGTAGGTTACCACAGAGTGGTTTTGACTGGGAGGAGCCTCTGGAGGTCTGATCTAATGTGAGGTCAGGCTGCCAAGGGTCTTGTCCAGCGGTGTTTCTGAACAAGCTTGGAGCTTGCAGTCTGCCTTGGTCTGTGCTCGAGCATTTCACCACCCTGTGAAGAAATTTTTTCTTCATGGCCAATTGAAATCTCCTGTGCCGCGACTTGAGACGTTTGTTGTTTTGCTGATACATGCGAAGAGAGTCTGGCTCCATCTCCTCTATAACTGCCCATGAAATAGTTGAAGGGAATAAGTCGTTTCCCTCTGCTTAGCTACCTGATCTTTCAGCTGAATAAACCCAGCTGTCTGGAATCTGTTATACTTAAACTGGATACACGTGAAAGCTTCTGGTGATCTGTGCCTGTAGCACTTGATCACATTTGTGTTATGTCCGAGAGACTCGTGGTGGGTCACAAATGGCACTTCAGGTGTGGTGTGACTGAGTTACAAAGCAGTCACTTTGAAAATACTGCAGTTAGGATTTTAGCCTCTTTTGTTTGAACTGGATGAACACCTGCGCTGCGATGCTGGGTGGTGACATCCAAGGGGCAAAACGTGGACTTCTGAAATAGTTTCTCTTCAAACTGGCAGGCTCCAGGAGGCCACGAGCTGAACTGTGACTACTGGGAGCTTATTGGGCTGGCCCCAGCAGGAGGGGCTGACAATCTCCTCAATGAGGATTCGGAGGTTGATGTGCAGCTCAACAACAGGCACATGATGATTCGAGGCGAGAACATGTCTAAAATCTTCAAGGTGCGCTCCGTGGTAGTGCAGGCCTTCAGGGATCATTTCTTTGCCAATGGATATTACGAAGTAAGTATATTTTCCCGAATGACTGCTTCAATGTCCTGACTTCAAGGCTATCTTTTTCCTGGAAAAGCTGTTTAGGCAAATTTTCTAACTGACCTGAAAGGGGCAAGAGAAAAGCTGTTTATTAGGAAACTATTCTGTGATTGCTTTCGTAGACGTAGATCTCCGAGGTGTGTGGACTGCTGAGTTGTGTGACAGGGTGGTTCACAATACCTACATACCTCTCTTCAGGCTGTCAGGCTGAAGTACTTGTACGTGTGCATACAGAAGCTTTGCAGATGGTGCTCTGGAAGTGTGTGCCTTGCATCTTGTCATCGTTGTCCTTAATTCTTCACTCGGTTAATGACAGTTGTCTTGTTGAACAGGTCACACCACCAACTTTAGTCCAGACACAGGTGGAAGGAGGCTCAACCCTATTCAAACTGGATTATTTTGGTGAAGAGGCATACCTAACACAGTCATCCCAGCTCTACCTGGAGACCTGCATTCCAGCCTTAGGAGATGTTTTCTGCGTTGCTCAGTCGTACAGAGCTGAGCAATCCAGGACCCGCAGACACTTGGCAGAGTATGGAGAGAGTCTATGTCTTTGCTCTTTATGTATAAGTGAATTTATACAGCGGGGAGCAGCAGGCAGTTGGCTGATATAACGTACAGTGAGAGGACAGCGTAGTGCTAAGGCAGAAGGGCTGATCACAAGTGTATTTGGGGGTAATTCCTTGTCTTGGTGATGCCCACCTGGTCATTATATGGTGACATTCAGTGAAGGGGGATCTGGGTGAAACAGAGCTGATACATTTTTAGAAAGCTCTGCCTTTTTAGAAAATAGAGTGTGTATTGTTGTCTTCCTAATTTTTTAAATGGCTTTATATGTTTTACAGTGTAGAAGGGGGAGAAACGAAAACAGGGAACAAAAGTGTGTGGGTTTGGGTTGTGGGGTTTTTGTCCTCATGATAATTTTTTTCATAGCTAGAGATTTGTTTCATGTGTGTGGTTTTGTAACAGCTGGCTCTGTGTTTCAGATACACTCACATTGAAGCTGAATGTCCTTTTATAACTTTTGAGAATTTGTTGGACCGTCTGGAGAACCTGGTTTGTGATGTAGTGGACAGAGTCTTGAAATCGCCTGCATCAAGCTTACTGTACGACCTGAACCCGGTAGGCAGCAATGTGAACAGACACGAATAGCCCAGAAAAGATGATCTTTAGCCTTTCCTGGCCAGCATGTTCCTCTGGGGAGGGCAGGGCATGGCAGTGAGCTCTGTTTGCTTACAATTATTAATAATAATGGAAGTATTGACTAACGTGAGAAGAATAAATATGCTGCAAGGCTGGCAGTGACTCTTCCAGAAGAGGGGGACTGTGGAGGAAGAAGTTCCAGCAGCCTGCTGGGTTTATTGCAACGTGCACTGTACTGGTAGGATAAAAACCTGTCCCAGTGCTCGTCGTATTGATCGGCTGCTGCTCGCAGATTGAGCACAGGGGAGCAGTGAAACTACTGGTGTTTTACTTTCCACCCTGCAACCTGGAGCTGTGTAAAGCTCTTTCCATTTGTTACAGGCCTTTTGTCTTCTGTTGCCTTTACAAAGAAGATGGCTTTAAGAGGCTGATAACTTTATCTCCATCACTAGCTTTTCTCTCGGGGTGCATCCAAACTCAGTCGTCGCTGTTGTTTTGACCTCTTTTCCTGATAAACACTGGGAGGTTCGGTTCTAAATTTGGGCCCAGGCAGGGCCAGAAGGTGTGACGTACCAGAGGCACAACCCAGCTCACAAAAACTGAAGCTGTTCTGTGTGCAGGGAAGCAAAAATGTTCTTTTGTGGCCTTGCACGTGGATCCTCTGCTCAGTTTGAAACACCGACATGTGCAGTGAATTTGTACAGAAAAGCAAACAGCTTTGAGAGTACTTCCTCCTCTCTTTCCTGCATCTGTACTGTCAGCTTTACTGGGCTTGGCAAACAGCTTTGAGAGTACTTCCTCCTCTCCTGTCATCTCTTTCCTGCATCTGTACTGTCAGCTTTATTGGGCTTGGAAGATGGTTGTGTTTGGTTCCAGTTTTTCAGTACTGAGTGTGATTGATTTATTTAGTAATAACTGGTTGATGTATGAGCTGGAAAGAGGAGTGTGTGTGTTTCAAGTCTGGGAGTGGACCTGCGGATAACGAGAAAAGCATTCTTTAAACGTGGCTCTCTTCTGACTGTCTTTGTCTGCTCTTATTTACAGGGCTTCACGCCCCCGAAGCGTCCTTTCCGACGGATGAACTACACCGAAGCCATTGAGTGGTTAAAGGAACATGATGTGAAGAAGGAGGATGGCACTTACTATGAGTTTGGGGAAGTAAGTCTTTCTGAGGTTCTTCAGGGGTTAAAACCAGTCAAAATCCCTCTTGGGGGGCTCTGACTTTAACTCAGAATTTAAGAGAAGTGTGATACTGTTGGCTGAATAAAAAATTAAACCTTTTAGGAGTAGACAAGAGTTTTTTGACTAAAAACTCTTGTGTTTAACAAGCCAGGATCACATCACCCCTGATGTTCCCTGTCAGTGTAGCTGTGGTGTCATCCTTCACTGCTCCCTGTTTTTAAACAGTAAAACTGCTAGATTGATAAAAATAAAGCTTCTGCTACGTCTTTCACGGTTCATCAAATTTCAGTCAGAAAACTTCAATAAAAACCAAGTAACCTTGTCTGTGTAACTCATCAGTTAAGGTTTTTTTAAAAATAGCCTGTCTACCTAACAAGGAAACACAAACTTCTTAGTCTTAAGGTTTGTGGAAATTGGTATTGGTAAGGAAGGAGATTTGGCTTCTCGGTGTTTGCTGGTTGCTCAAAGTCTACAGCTCAGGTTAGGTTTTCTTCAGTTTTCAGTCTGAAACTTTGGGAAGACTTGGATTTTAATTTAACAGATTTTTTCCCCTCTCTGACATATGTGCTTTTATGTATAAGTATAGTTTCTTTTAAGGTAAGTTTGTTTTAAAAACTTTAGGTAGATTGGGATGAATGTACTTGTTTCATGGCTGATACATGTGGAACTCGAGGTATCGGAGCAGGTCTGGTTTAAAATATTAACGAAGCCTTCTTTACCCTTAGGATATTCCTGAAGCTCCTGAGAGACTGATGACAGACACCATTAATGAGCCCATCTTGCTGTGCCGCTTCCCTGCAGAGATCAAGTCTTTCTACATGCAGCGCTGTCAGGATGACTCCCGCCTCACTGAGTCTGTAAGTTGGACCAGGTTTTGCTTTTGGGGTCTCCTGGCATGGCTTGTTGATGTGATGGAAGTAAATGAAGCAGCTCTGAAGTGCTAATGAAGCGTGGGCAGGTCATAGTGAGCATGCTCTTCACTGACCTTGGGAAGTGCTGGTCTGAGGACAACCTTTCTGTGACTTTTGGGGACTGTTGTCTGCACACTGGCTGTCCAGCAGCGGGAAGAGTGGTGGTGGTGGTGGTGGTTAGGAATGCTGCTGGGTTTGTGGTTCTGTGGTGTGGCTTTTGTGGTTTTGATTTTTTACAGTTCAGTGTGGCCAGGAGTATTAGAAATGAAGTTAAGTAACTAGTCAGTTTATATTTGGGATAAATTTGGGTTTGGAAGGAACTGCCTGTCCTCCTGTCATGGAGAACTGAAATTACATTGTAAAATGTGTTATGGAAATACAGCTTTAAGTTTGGGCTGGTTTCCCTCCCCCTCTTGCGGGCAGCTTAATTGTAATAGCTTGATTGTGTGTCGTGTGTTGCAGGTTGATGTGTTGATGCCCAATGTTGGTGAGATTGTTGGAGGCTCCATGCGTATCTGGGACAGCGAGGAGCTACTCGAAGGCTATAAGAGGGAGGGCATTGATCCCACGCCGTACTACTGGTATACCGATCAGGTTTGTAAAACAGATTACATGTGTGGCTTGTCAGATGTGATTATTTTTTAAAAAACGCTCTTAAAATTATGCAGTCTAAATTGGAAGTGTATTTTTGGTGGCCCAAAGCAGATGGTTGTTCAACCGTTGAAGTGCAATGGGTGACAGTTGCCATTCTGTTTGAATTGCTGCAGTTGCGCGCTGCCCTTGCCAGTTGCTGTGGTTGGGCTCGTCTGTGCGGGTGTGCTCCTCGTGATATCTGTTGCAGTGACTGTGACACCCTCGTTAGATAAGGAGAGGGTGATCTTCACAGACTTGAGTGGCTGAGCTCTAGCTTAAGGGAGAAGAAAGGGATGGGGTTGAAAAAGAATTGTTAAGGCTTTCTTTTTCACCTTCCTCTTCCTCCCTCCAGTCCTTGCACTGCCCCAGGAAACCCAGGGCAACTGAGCACCGACATCATGCCTGAAAAGCACATGGTCTGTTTCCTCATTCAGAAAATAATCTTGGAGGGGTTTGGGATTTTTTTTCCTGCCGGTATTACTGCAATTATGACATGAATAACAAGAAAATATTGAATATCTACTCTGATTTTAATTCCGCAGAGGAAATACGGCACATGTCCCCACGGTGGATATGGTCTGGGGTTGGAACGGTTCCTAACCTGGATTCTGAACAGACACCACATCCGAGATGTCTGTCTCTATCCGCGCTTTGTCCAGCGCTGCAAACCTTAACCGTCCTGTGACAGACTCCTGGGAAACTGAGCAAGTGATGCTTGGAAAAGAACCATACACTGCTACACTACAGCCTGTCTGAGACCAGATTGACTGCAGCCTGTTGCTAATACAAATACTATTTAAGGTGTGAAAAGGAAAATAAATCCATTTTTTTTAAAGGAAAATCCTACTAATTAACTGGAAGAAGTCTTAGAAAAAATCGTTAGATGTGTTTACGCTCTCAAGCCAACATAGAACAAAGATCCTGATAAGCTGTCACTTAAAAAACAAGATACGCTTCTGCTTTTAATTTCTGTCACTTGAAAATATCTTGGGCATTTGATTTTTAAAAATTTAATTAATTTTAAGCTGTTTTCTCTTGTGGTTTCTTGTGGTTGAAGAAATTCCAAAAACACTGACCTCTGAGAATGGTACGAAGAGCTACTGTCTAAATAGCTCAACAAAGGATAAAAATGGGAGTAATTGCATTAAGTGCTGGACTCTTGTAGCTCCTGCTGTTTTAATGGAAGCTCTGAGTTTATTCGGTAGTGAGGTGTGTAGTATTGAGCACAGAATTCCTCTGCAAGAGACATAGGTTTGGTGGGTGTTTTTCTGCAGAGTTTTTATTGGTTAGAAGTGAGGAGGCTGATGGCGAGGTTACTTTGCTACCCTGCTCACAGCAGGGTCCATGCCCACCCAGCGATGGGGAGTTGCAGTGGCATGGGGCAGAGCGTTGTCTGTGAACTGGTGGGCACTGGGGTGTCTGTTGCCTTCCAGATAAAGGTTCTCGCATCAGTTTCAAAACACAGGTGGCCAATTAAAGACCCAAAGAAACTGGTACCTTTGAAATGCAAGTGGATTTCAGTGTCGTTTGCAGACTGACTGGCTCTCCTGTCTAGATGGACTGTAGTTCAGGCAGTGCTTTCCCATGTCATGCTCAAATGTTTCCATAGTAGAGCAGTTCTGTGTTTCCCAGCTGGCTCAGAGTCCTCTTGTGCTACTGCACCTGAGCAGATTCCCTGGCTGTAATAAAGTTATTAAATAGGGTTAATTAAATATTTAATGTGTTGAGGCATCTGTATACTTTTTAGCCAAAAAGTAAAGTGATTTCTTTTACTGGAGAGAAAAAAAAAATTGGGAGGTGCGTCATTGCTACGTGCACTGAGACTTGATCTGCATTTGCCACTCATGGAATTGTTGTGCTGTGCGATACCCACATTTTTGTAATAAATGATGGTTTTCTTCATCTTGCATGTTACATATATAAACTGGTCTAAATCGGCAACCAATAAATTATGCCAATATGAGTTGGCGTGCAAGGCAATAGTTCTTGACCTGTGATGTCTGTTCCTTTCCTTTCACTTAGCCTTTGTAGCTTATCTAATACAATCTGTTCTGGCACAGGCAATGTCTACGTGGGCAAGAGCACAGGAAAAGCCAATTTTCAAGTGCAGTAAATGCATGTTCCAAAAAACAGAACTAGCTTTTTTTTTTCTTTTTAAAGTATTAATTAACTTAGAGGCATTTTATAATTTGGTTAAACCACCTCAGCTACTTGATTAAAATATCCTAGCGAGAATGAGTGAGAACTGTGGGGCAGAATAATTGGTTGCTGGGGCAGCAGCTCCAGGGGAGCAGGCTGTGACTTTGCTGGTAGCTGTGGCTGCCCAAAGTGGGGCTGGGACTGTAGGCAGAGCCATGGCCAGTGATAAACCCAGGTCTGCAGGTTTCTGCCTCCAGCCGAGAAGTGCTGTTCTTCCCAGCATGTGGAGGAAATACCATAAATGATGCACGCCGTAAGCACAGTGAGTGTCCCTGTGTGTGAGGTGCGGCCCTGTCGCACAGCTTTCCCTCTGCCCTGGCCGAGGCAGAATTGGAGCTTTGGATAGTCTGCTTTTTCATCTATTGGAGAAGATTTCAATCTGCAGAACAAAAACTGCCCTAGTCAGGTGAAAACACCCCCTGGTCACAGGGAAACTTCAGGTGGTTGCATTACCCTGTGTGGTGACTCTGGGTGTTGATGCAGATTTATGAACTGGGATTTTGGTTGATCTGTACATCCATGTCTAAATTTTTACGTCTGTGTTGGATCTGTACACCCGTGTCCAAACTGTCTGTCCATGTCCTGTGCTCCCCCACAGGGCCACGTCCTTCCCTTTCCAGACAGGGCCGCCTCTATCCCTAAAGCTTCAGGGCTGCCCACAGAGAGGGGACTAAGAAAAACCTCTGAAAGGTAAGCCGGCATAACACAAGGAGTGCCGTTATTAGTTTAGCGTCAAAAAATAAATTAGATGCTGGGATCTTTTGTTCGCTTTGATGACGGGGTGCTCGAGCTCTCACCTCTCAGCCTGCAGTAACGGTCGTTCAGGGACTATGGGAGGGGGTTAGTGATTTCTCCAGGGCTGCCGCCTTCCCCGGCACCGGCGGGGCGGTACCGCAGCGTGGGCGGTACCGGGGGGGCGGTGGCGGACACGATGGGGCGGTGG